CATCGCTGGCTGCTGTTCCTCTCCTTTCTACTGACAAAGAAAATTATAATATAATTATAGAAAAATACACTGTTCTTGAGATGGTGGGAGGGAGGGATTTTTCTTTTAGGTGATTATGTTAAGCAGGAACAAATGAAACAATAAACTCTACAATTGAGTGAACAAAGATTTTGCCAACTCACTGCCAATTAGGTTTGTTCAAATTATACAGAGTCTAAATGAATGGCAAGTAAATAGTTACAGGGCAACTGAAAAAAATATATGGTAGATTTCATTATAAAAAACACAGAGTTGTTGTTCAGCCCTACCTAATCAGAACTATAATACTACTTCTTGACTGATATAAAAGATGCATAGCAAAATCAGACTTCCTGCAACAAAACTTTTCTGTATCTTACATAAGAATAGCTCTACTGAATCAGCCCCATAGCCCATCTAGCCCAAAATCCTCTCTCCGACAGTGGCCAGTGCCAGATGTTTCAGAGGGAAAGAACTGGACAATGCCAAGAGATCCGCCCATTGTCCAGTCCTAGTTTCTAACAGTTGGAGGTTGAGAGACACCTGGCGCATTTGGTTATGTACCTGATCATTTTACCCCACAGTCATTAACGGGCCCATCCTTCACGAAGTTCTCTAATTCTTTTGAACCTAGTTACACTTTTGGTTTTCACAACATTCCCTGGCAATAAGTTCTATAGGTGGACCACATGTCATGTGAAGTAGTCCATACTTGTGTTGGTTTTAAATCTGTTGCCTACTGATTTAATTAGGTGTTCCTTTATGTAAAGGGGTAAATAATACTTCCCTACCCACTTTCTCCACACCATTCATGATTTTATAGACCATTCTCACATTCCTATTTACATTTATTTTCTTACCTGAACAATTCCAGTCTTTTCAATCTATCCTCATATGGATATTGTTCTACACCTATTCTTTTTTCCCTTCGCTGTATATTTTGCAGTCCTAAAATCTTTTTTTGAAATAAGGTAGCTAGAACTACCTACAGCATTCACACGGTAAGCGTACTATAGCTATATATACTGGCATTACGATATTTTCCATTTTATTATCTATCCTTTTCCTAACAGTACTAAACATTATCAATTTTTTGGACTACTGATGCACACTGAATGGGTGTCTGCAGAGACTATCCACAGTGACTAGAAGATCTCTCTCAAGTCTTATAGTCTTTCCGACTAATTTATTCATAACAGGTGATATTCCCTGAAACTCCTTTGGATCAGTCAAATTCTGCTTTCATTTACACAGGTATAGATCTGGAGAAACATCCCTGTAGCCAGTAGAGTTACTCCAGATATAGACCTATCTAGGTGAGAGAAAAGGCTGCCCATCAGTATAGTTTCAGAAATGTTATTTTTTTCTGACAACTTATTTTGCTGCAAAATATAATAATGAAATGTTCAGCGGCACACAATACTCAGCTGGTGTAAAACAGTATACTCCACTGAAACCAACTGTGGTTTCACATCGCATTATAACTTAACAAATTAGTTAATTGCTTTCATGGTCTCAGTGCTAGTTAAAGTATTCACGTAAAATATTTTTAGGAAATGTTAATGATAAGTTTGCACTTATATAATAGCACCTTCTATCTACAGATATGATATCTTTTACACCCATTAATTCAAAGGGGGCACTGAGCCTAAATTAAGGGAGACATATGCTACTAGCCCCATTCTCTAAGTCAGGAAAAGAGCAATCCCTAACAAAAAATGGGCAATACAAGAAACAGTAGAGCAGAATGTTAAATGACTGTTTTATAATGCCTCCCAATTGATAGCAGGCTCTGCTACGCAATAGGAGGTACTGTACTAAGCCTAATTTTCTAAATCAAAAAGACATAGGAGGCCAGTATCTTCAAAATAGTGATAGAAATGTAGCCGTGTTAGTCTGGTGTAGCTGAAACAAAATACAGGACTGTGTAGCACTTTAAAGACTAACAAGATGGTTTATTAGATGATGAGTTTTCGTGGGCCAGACCCACTTCCTCAGATCAAAAAAAAAATTCTGCATTTATTGAAGCAGCCTTTTATTTTGAAATAACAGGCAGCTTATTCCAACCTCCCAGTAACCCTCATTCCACAAGTATTAAGGGGAATTTCGGAATAGCAAGTTATTTCGAAATTTGGCACTGTGTAGACAGTGCCAAATTATGAAATAAGCGATTTCAAAATACACTCAAAATAAAGCTACACAAATTGTGTAGCGCAAATTGTGTATCTTATTTCGAGCTAAGGGTGCTGTGTAGGGACTAACCAAAAAAATGTATAGATAGTATCATGATCTTTCATGGGCACAACCCACAAATATAGAGCAAGAAGCCCAGAGGTTCAAATATAAAGCAGAAAAAGAGGGGAAAGTTGAAGGAAAACAAAAAAGAAACAAAAAAACCCTAACCTGTCAATTAAAGTGTCCGTGTTAAATGAGTGAGCTGTTAAGTGCCCGATAGTTAGCCCATCCAGTTCATATCTTTGTTCAAGCCATGATAGTGTAAGATTTGCATATGAAGGCCAGTTCTGCAGACTTACTCTTTAGTTCAGTGTTTCTTAAACTTTTTGAGACCACGGAACACCAAACAATAATATTTTTTATGTGGATCACCTATGAAAATTTTCTTCTCCCCCCCCAAAAAAAATTGTCATCACACAAAAAAAGACAAAAACAAAGAAGTAACAAAAAAAAAAGAAGAGCTCACGGCACACCTGCGAGTTGTTCACGGAACACCAGTCTTCCGCGGAACATAGTTTAAGAAACACTGCTCTAGTTGATCCCTAAAATTACTTTGTAAGAGAATAGTAATTTTAGATCCACTAATGAGTGTCTGGGCAAGTTAAAATGTTCCCCAACAGGTTTGTGTGTGTTACCATTTTGAATATCTGATGTGTGTCCATTAACCCTTTGTTGTAGAGACTGTCCAGTTTGGCCAATATATCAGACTTTCCGGTTTGGCCAGAGGGGCATTGCTGGCACTTGATGGCAAATATCACATTAGTGGATGTGAAGTTGTACGTGCCTCTGATATGGTAGCTTATATGTGGTTAGGTCCTGTGATGATGTTGCTTGTGTAGATGTGCGGACAGAGCTGGCAACGGAGTTTATTGCAGGTAGGTTCCTGGGTGAGTGTGTTTCAGGTGTGATGCATGGTTGCTGGAAAGAATTTGTTTTAGGTTAGCGGGCTGTCTGTAGGCGTGGATTGGCCTGTCCCCCAAGGCTTGTGAGAGTGAGGGATCGTTTTCCAGGATATGTTGTAGATTGTTAATGATGCACTGGAGGGGTTTAAGTTGGGGGCTGTAGGTGATGACTAGTGTTCTCATTTTTTTTGTTGGGTCTATGTTAAAGAAGCTGATGCCTGCGTACTTGTCTGGCTCTCTCAATCTGTTTTTTTCACTTCCCCAGGTGAATATTTCAGTTTTAAGAATGCTTGATAGAGATCCTGTAGGTGTCTGTCTCTGTCTGTGGGACTGGAACAAATCTGGTTGTATCTTAGGCCTGGCTGTAAACAACTGATCGTGTGATGTATTCTGTATGGAAGCTAGAATCATGTAGGTAAGTATAATGGTTGGTAGGTTTCCAGTATAAAGCGGTGGAAATGTGGCCATCATTTAATTGCATTGTTGAGTCAACGAAGTAGTCCTCTTGTGTGAACTGGTCCAGACTAAGGTTGATGGTTGAGTAGAAGTTGTTGAAATTCCTGTGGAATTCTTCAATGGGCTCATTTCCATGGGTCCATATAATGAACATGTCGTCAATGTAACGTAAGTAGAGTAATGGTGCTAGGGGGCGAGAGCTGAGGAAATGTTCAAGGTCAGCCATAAAGATGTTGGAATATTGTGGGGCCAAGCGAGTGCCCATGACTTGAAGATATGTCCATGAAATGGCTTATCTGTGCTACTCCCAGACAGCAGCTACTATAGAGTTAAGTCAGTAAAAGTACAAGAGAAGCTAATGGGAGGCAAAGAATGCCTGGGGAAAAATGACCTTCCTGTATGAGCTGTGAGAGAACTCCAGTGAAACCCTAGATAATCTTATAGTTTCTTTAAACTTGAGTTTATTTGTTTATGCAATGTAATTACAATCCTTTTGTTAGTACACACAATAGTATCTTGGGATAAAGTAAAATGCAGCAAAGAAAGAAATCTGTAACATTTTGAGACCACAGCAAATACACTCTGTTATATCTCTATCACATAAATAACTAAGTACCTAGCAAGTCCGGATAAGCATAAACTTATCGGGTAGTCCAGTGGAGTACTGACTATTCACTCTTCTGGTTTGGAGCTCTCCCCACTACGGTTCTGCAGAGTAGCCCTTATAGACTAATTGTGTAGTCAATACAAATTGTATCGACTACATGATTAGCCAGATAACCGCAATTTAACATCCTTACAAATGCTGTTTCTAATGTTCAGTGTTTTTCAGTGGGAGATATTTATCATTGACAACGGTCTCACTGTGAACAATGCTAAGAAAATGGTTTTAAAAAAACAAAGTTCATTTGAAATTAGAATGTAAATTAAATGTTATTAATCATTTATATAGAGAGTGACAATCCAGTGACTTTTATCAACCAGAAGTACACAAATCTTGGTGAGATTGCAGGGGAAACACAAATACTACCGAGTTCTACATAGCAGAAGTAGGTAACCAATCAACATAAACAGCAGAAATTATATTGGACTATTTGAAAAATGACCCATCGTAGAAGATTTCATTTGCTAAGAGTCTTTGTTCTGAAAAAGGCATAAAAGTGAAGAAAGAGTAAAAAAAAAACAAAAAAAAACCAGGAGGGTATTTTACCTGTTTGCTTTTACAAAGGAAATTGACTGCAAATTCTTGTGAGTAAAGAAATAAAGATTAGATTTTTCTGTTTTCATATTTGACTCTCAAGGCACCAGTTTAAGTGCCCACAATTCCATCATTTCAACGTGTCCTGGTAAATGTGTCTTTCATTTAAATCTGATAAATATTTTACTTACCCAGCATCCTCCTGGAAACCTTCCAATTCATCCCTTTGCTCCGCTAAGGTGGATTCTAGATCCAGATAGGTACCATTATGGGATAGTTGCAGTGTACAGTCATCAAGCTATAAGGAAAAAAAAAACAAAATGGTGTAATTATTTGCATTTATAAATTACAAAAAGCTACCCTTCTTTTGTATAGTCCAAAGTTTTTTTAGAGCAAAGAAAGCAAAATCTTACAGCATATGTTCCAGATGAAGCACCTGTTCTCCACCATTTTAACTTTTCCAATACATTCTGAGGTCCTTATTGCACTCACTATTCTTCCAGCAAAGAAAGATAAGACAGCAGTCTCTTATTTGGAGGTCAATGCTAATCCTTACTTTTCTATCTGAGCTATTTGAATTACTAAACCCTTGGACTCCAACAGACACTGAGCACAAACTTTCTTCAGTGAAGTCTGCATCAGCTAGCACAGGCAGCAAAATGTTTGTTGGAAAAGGAGAGGAAGAGCAAAAGAGAGAGATAAAGTAATGAGGTCAGGCCAGATAGCTACAGGAAAGTAACAGAAAGCACATATATTAACCCCAGGTTAAACAAGTCCCTGTTTCCCCAGTAACCAAACAAGGTCTTACTTCCAGGTTAATTAAGACACCTGGAAGCAATCTAGAACCTGCTAGAACCAGATGAAACCGTTAGTTTTGGTTGGGACAACTGAAACCAATCAAGGGCTGGCTGGAACTGGTTAAAAGCCTCCCCTTTGGTCAGTTTCGTGGTGTTACAGGAGTGGTGAGAAAAGGATGCACTCTAGGAGAGCAGAAACAGTACAGAGGTTGTCACATACCAGGAGGGAGCCCTGCAGGTACAGAGGCAAGGGGCAAGGATAGAGCCCCAGGTGATTCAGAAATCTTTAGGAGGTAAACCTCTACTAGAAGAGAAAAGACTGAGATAAGAAATCTAATCTGTTGCCTCCATGTCCAGAGAGGCCACTAGAGATTTCCCCCTCCTTTCCGCCCTTGCTATGTCAATGATAACAGTGGCTATAGCTTGCATCTAAAGTAAATGTGTAGACTAAGCTGTAGTGAGCCACTGAGGTGAGCAATTAGAATGGAAGTTACTGTTGTCCCCAGATGGAGAGAGATAATACTCAAGCCTACTACTAACCAGAAGCACAAGACCAAACCTCTGTGTGAAATTAGGATATTTATCATGACAGACAGTCATGCACACTTCAGCTTTCCAGAGAATTCCATATTGCTGACTCAGGGAGAGATTCAAGAAAAAAAATCTAATGCTCAGATTAAAGATTATTTTAGGTTCTTGCTTGGGTCAGGAGGCAAAATGTATTTTTTTATTTATACCAGAGTAACTGTAATCACAATCTGTCTACCATCATTGCATTACTACTGAATCTAGGCTTTGAAAGATCTGTTCATTTTGTTCAGGTTTTTTCTTTGTAAAAAAAAAAAAATTGTTTTTGCATGAACTATTTATTCACAGTTCTCTCAACACATTCTTCTGGGAAGGTGACATTTAAATGGCCTGGCATACATAGAATGCTCAGTTTACAGGCAAGAAAAAATGTCAACAAATTAAATTTTTTGGTTACTAGAGATTTAAAAACCTACATTAAGATCCATAAGTACAGGTGCTACAATACTAATGCATGTATCATTTTGATGAAGGAGGAATGTCAACCTACACAAAACTGGAAATACAGTCTTTAGAAAAAAAGAAATGAGGCTAAGCAATACTCTGGGAATCTTTCCCCCAGTAGCCCAGGGTATCAACTGAAATGCTAATTTATTCATGCCAATGCCAAAAGGCAAACTACTAATTAGATAAATGTTCTGCTGTCACTATGGGGACTGGGAGATTTGCCCACACTTTCCAATTCTACTGCATAATTAGGAAAAAGGAACTGAGTTTTACTAACATCTGATGACTTTAGTTCATAAAGGCAAGACAAGAACAGGAAGTACCTGATGTGCTAGATGCAAGAAAACTGTTCATTCTGCCTATTTTCAATTCATCACCATAGTTTCAGTTGAATATGGTATTATTCATTCCTGTCTGAAAGTTTTGTACAATGTACCTAAGAACTGAAACTATGGTGATGAGGGGTGTGCATGTAAGTATTAAACTTCAGGACTTCAAGTGCAACTATTTCACTGAAGATGTGGCTCCTTTTCAACAGGAAAGGGGAAAATGAGATGGGGCGAGAGGGGAGTAAAGTAATTCCTACATAAAGGAGCAGGTGCTCAGATATCACTGTGCAGATCCCCTATGAAATATTAAAACAGATCACCTCATGTAGATTCACCCGTCCTCCCTTTACTCACAATTTCTCCCTGCACATACCAAGTAGGGGAAACTAGAAGCTGCAAATTCCCACTGGTGGTGCTTCTGCTAATTACTCACTCAGAAGGACTGGGGAATTACTTTCCCCATATCTGAAATGACATGAGTTTATAGCCACAAAACACCACCCTGCATTCCCAAGATCTGTGAATATTTCTAATGCTCTGTTATTTGTCTGGGTTGCCCATACAAAGGCCACATGCTCCTCTGCACAACTTTCTCCTCTTCGCTTTCTTCCAGAAAGTCACTGATGGTGTGCCTGCACAGCAGGGGTTAACTTGAAATAAACTACGCAAACTGAGCTACGTCAATTGCGTAGCTTATTTCAAAATAGCTTATTTGGAAATTGGGAACATCCACACCACACTTACTTTGAGAAAGAGCACTCTTCTTCCGACTTCCCTTACTCCTCATACAATGAAGGTTACAGGAGTCAGAGTCAGAAGTCCTCCAGCTTGACAGCATTTCGACATTATTTCGAAATAACTGCTTGCTGTGTAGATGCAGACTAACTTATTTCAAAATAACGTTGTTGTGTAGACGTACCCTCAGAGCACAGGAGAGACAGGCTCCCTATTATCAGTTCCTGTGCTTCACCTGCAATAGCACCTAGCTGTCCCAAAGAGCCCAAACATGTACACTGCAGATGGAAGTTTTAGGGAATTTAGCTGAGATGTCTCTTCCAAGCATGTGCAAGAAGCTTTTGGAAAACTGCTGTTTACTTTGCCAAATTTGGGCAGATTTTCATAGGCAGAGGAAAAGGCACATCCCTGATGCAAAGACCACCCTACTGCCAAATTTCAAGTTCCTGTACCAAAACATAGAGCCCAAACATGTACACTGCAGATGGAAGTTTTAGGGAATTTAGCTGAGATGTCTCTTCCAAGCATGTGCAAGAAGCTTTTGGAAAACTGCTGTTTACTTTGCCAAATTTGGGCAGATTTTCATAGGCAGAGGAAAAGGCACATCCCTGATGCAAAGACCACCCTACTGCCAAATTTCAAGTTCCTGTACCAAAACATGGGAGTGCTAAAGCTTCTAAATGAAAATGTCATCAAAAAAATTTAAAATATGCAAACAATATAGTTTTCCCTAGCCACTTTTTCAGAAACACCTGAATTGTTTTGGCTGATTTTTTTTGGGGGGGGGGGGGGGAGGAAGAGGAATTTAGCCAGATGCAATCACCTGGAATGGAACATTTCAGCCCAAATGGTTATAGTTTGGAAAGCTATAAGCAACTGTAACAGGTTCTTACAAAGAGAAACTTCTTATTTTGGAAATCTGTCTATAGGACCTATTAATTCAGTGAATTCTGTGTATGTTTCTTTACCAAGCTGCAAAACTTCATTTTGAATGTGGAGACCAACTGCATTCACTGTGAGCTTTAGTGCCATTTTGGACTGAAATTTCAAGAGAGAGCTGTTAACCCAAATGTCCTACCACTGATATGCAATAGTACTTACACAAGAGACTATGAGAACTGGTTTATCAGGCAAAAAGTAACTTGTGATCACTAAATCACCTCGTAGGATCTCTCTGGTCACCTGTTGAGACTGAACAAGGAGTAAGACCCTGACTACCAGACCACAGATGGTTCTCCTAAACTAGCAAGGGAAGGGAGATACCCATAAAGGGTTTACACTTTTCATATGGATCTCTTTGTTACTTTTGTGATTAAGTAAAGAGCAGGAGCATTGTAGAACTGCAAAATGTATGCTTTCTATGCTACAACTGCCATTTGAAAGTAAAATGTAGCCCAAATGATTCACACCTTCAGTGGGATTCTGGAAGAGGGTATGTTTAAATTACACTGACCATCTGAAGAGTCTGCACTCAACTCAGGGATTAGGCAGATGAGTCACATGGAGCCAGCTCTCAGGAGGATCTGTTACACACAAGGCCTGCATTCAGAGAGTCTTCCTAGGGATCCTAAGTCTGAGACAGTGATCCAGGGGCAGGTTTCCCCTAACAGAAGTCTGATGGGTTGCAGGCCAGGTTAAGGTAGGCAAGCTTAATTATATGTAGTGTTGCTGATCCTGCCTATAATACATACACGGTAGGGCTGTGTCTACACTGGCATGAATTTCCGGAAATGCTTAAAACGGAATACTATTCCGTTTTCAGTTTTTCCGGAAAAGGAGCGTCTACATTGGCAGGCTGCTTTTCCGGAAAAGCCCTTTTTCCGGAAAAGCGTCTGTGGCCAATGTAGACGCGCTTTTCCGGAAAAGAGCTCTGATCGCCATTTTCGCGATCGGGGCTTTTTTCCGGAAAAGACTACTGGGCTGTCTACACTGGCCCTTTTCTGGAACAGTGTTCCGGAATAAGGACTTATGCCCGAGCGGGAGCAGAATAGTTTTTCTGGAATAGCGGCTGATTTTGTCCAGTAGAGCATCGTTGCTTTTCCGGAAATTCAAGGGCCAGTGTAGACAGCTCGCAGCTTATTCCGGAAAAGCGGCTGATTTTCCGGAATAAGTGGCCCAGTGTAGACACAGCCTAGATGTTTAATATACCGCCATCTATCTGATTTAAGGTCAGCTCCTTTTCAGCTAAACCCTGACTTTTTTCTAATTTGATATTTTTCTGGCCTACATAATAATTAAGTTGTTGTATGACCACAATAAAACAAAGAATTTTTTAAAATGAGTTTTCTGTTTTTCTGTGTGTCAGTATCTCAATTATGAAAGCTGCTGAATGGACAGCTCTGGAAACTGAAATTTTACCATTTTCTATTTATTGTCAGGATTATCCTACCATTGTCAGGATT